AAACAAAAATAACATGTACCTAACCATAAACCTGTAGAATTTGTAAAAGATTATAACCTGTTCCAAAGCACATTGCACATCGCAATCTACAAAATAAACCTAAAAATGCATACCTTGGTCAATTTTAACATTTAGTATTTTTGTTCTATCTTTCTTAAAGTAGGCATCAGAGACGTTGGGTTTGCCTAATACGTCCACACAATGAGGACCAGAAAGGATACTAAGTAAGTATTTCAGTTTAGGCTCAAATCATTTGCACTTTTCATTTTGATTCAATAAAATGTTAACAGAAGAGGGCAGGGATACACTGAGCCATAACCACAAACTGCATTGATAAAAAAATAACACATACAGTTAAGATTTAGAAAGCATGAATATATTTTGCAAATGGGAGTGTCAATGATTCATTCCTAATGCAGTATTTTACCCCTTTGGGAGCTCTTTACCTGTGTTCACAGTGCAAAAGCAGTATGTTCACTCAACACAAAACACTCACTTATCTAACTATGCGCATAGTTTTGGTTTCCTCTGTCCAGGTTTTGAGACATCTATGAAGTCTGAAATTTCTGTTTCCACCTTACAGTGGAGGTGAAATAGGAGGATAGCAGTGGCAGTACTCACAACATTAAAAAACGAAGGGGGGGCGCCCGGTTAGCTCAGTCGGTAGAGCTGGCGACCCCTATACTGAGTTGCTGCAGCGGTTCGAATCCAACCTGCGGCCCTTCGCTGCGTGTCATCCCCCTCTCTCTCCACCCGCCTTTCCTGTCTCTCTACAGCTGTCTCTATAAAATAAAGCCAACAAAAGGCCAAAAAAAAATAAATAAATAAACGAAGGGCAACACTCAGTTGCTAGCACAGTGGATTGTCAAATCATTCGACACTTGTCAATTGAATCACGTAGCACACAGCACACGCATCATAAGGACAGAGACAAATGTAATGGTTCAGTAGACAGAATGGAGTAGATGTTATGCAATTGCTGCTTATTTGAAGTGTCGACATGGAATAAGGCTCAGCAACAGGATGATAATACATCCTGATGTGTCAACCCAAAATAGCATAGGTCAAGATGCCAGCATAGCCATATAATAACAGTGTGTGTTGCACACTGTCCAGTTCATCAGGTTACTATGTCTTCAGTAAAAACAAGTCATTTGTTTTTTTGTTTTTTCAAAGAAAAAGTATTTGTTCCACACATTACAAACCAGTGTTGACGATGATATTGGTTAATCCTTGACTGTTATCTCATGTGTTGGAAAAAAGAGGCACAGGTGGTGGCGATGGCAGGAAATCCCTAAACAAATAGCTGCTACAAAGATGCAGTTAGAGGAGAAACGGACACACAAAAAGAAAGTCAGAGAGGCAGACTGGCAGGGACACAAGAAGAGGTAGTTTACGGGTAGACAACGGGCACACAAAAGCAAAGAGATTCAAGTTACAGTGGGGAGAAATAAAGGAGGGAAGACAGAAGCCTTCATCACAAAAGCACGCCATGAAACAATAGTTCCCTGATGAAAAGAGGCACCAGTAAACACGAACACCCCTGTTTGGCAGACCTGGAGAAAAGGATTGGAGAAAAGGAGAGAGAGAAGGAGCAGGAGAGGTTAGAGACAGACAGGCCTTGCCAATGCGGCCCCCATGACGAGCAGCGCCACCTCGTTAAACCTGTCCGCAGGAGACACAGGCAGATGCTCTGCTTTTTCTATGAAAATGACCGACCTGCTAAGCAGCTAGCAGCGTCACGCTCCTTTGAACAACTATTGACCTCAAAGCTGTCACTCGGCTTCACGCCAGTGCTGGTTCCAGCTCACCACACTTGGAAGAGGCTTGTTGCACCATAAGTTTTAATGCGGGCCAAGATATATTAGTATTGCTTGTTATCAAACGTTGTACAAAATGTCTTTCTGCTGATATAGTCATAAGTTTGTGTTAGGCTTCGGCACTCGGCTGCGCTGCATGTGGCCATCAGATAGAGTAGCTTCTGATTCATGATCACCAATTATGTCTTAAGACCTTTGAAAACATGCTCCCCAGCCTGTGCAAATTGGCATTAAGGATATGAAAGTGTTACCCATTAATGCACATTTACTCACCATGTTACATTTAGGAGGCCCACCGCTGTCAAGCATCAAAGCGCAGTCAGCACATGGAGCCATGAGTCAAGAGGAAGCAACTAGGATGAGGGAGAGATAGAGAGGGAAAGAGAGAGATAGACAGAGGAAGGAGAGCAGCAGTTCTCTGAGGATTAGCTCATTTAGACTGCTTTGATCTGTGAGATCTTAATTGCTGGGAAGCACTGATAGAGTCCTCAGACTTAGCAACACTATCCAGGGTAGGAGGGAGGAGGGTGGTCGTGTCCTTACCTTATTTTCCTCATTCCTTCTTTTTCTGTATTTCAATTCCAGGATGTTCTTATTTAATTGTATTTCTATTAATAATTAGAATGAATAAGCATCCTCAACCACGCTGGAAGCTCTGGGAGGCTGTACTTTAGGATAGGGTTGCTTTGAATGAAACGCTAAAAACAGCATGCCACTATGCTGATATTTAGCAGTTAATGCTTACCATGTTCACCATGTTGGTTTATTGCACTAGCATGCCAGTATTTACTTATTACACAAACTAAACACAAAAGGCAATTGACACACACAGGAATTTAATTAGTTTTGCAGCTATTTGATCATTCTGTTAACCAATGTGTTGGAAAAAAGTGAATTTCTGACCTGATAATGATGGTAAAGGAAAAGAATAACTTTTATTTCACCGCATACGTGATAAAGTTTACCTGCTGGTTGAGTTGGATGAAAGACCTTAGCCTGTGACAATTCACAGTCTCTCCTCATTTAAAAACAGCTTGACTCGGAATAGGGAAACACCGTAGTTGTGGTTAAAATAAAGCAATATTAACTGTTGATAGGAGCAGGACATGAACACTTGTACATCAATCCAGTCGTCCCATACATAAGACTTTTTGCTGCTGTATGTAACAGCCTGCCGCTTCTGCCTGTGTTTCTGAATGTAAAAGTGACTTTTTTCAGGATTGGAAAGCTGTAACCATGGGTGTTTTAATCAATACTGTTGTTTTTTTGCATGAGGGCAGTTAAATGTCCCAGTGGAGGCACTATAAAGGTGAGGTTAGGTGAGAAGAATCTGGGAAGATATGCAGATTTTAATCAATAGGATGTTTTATTTATTGGCTAAGTGTCCGGTTGAGTCACCTTTTATTAAGTCAAATTCTGATTTTATGGCATCATGTCAATGTGGTCATTAAATAGTAAATGTCAGCTTCAACAGCTTCTATGGGTTTTGTAACAGGAGTGGATATCTTTTTTCTACATTTCTCTTTTTCTCTTCCAAGGCAGCTTTTTATGTCTTGTCTGAATACAAAAAACTCTGTAGTTGTAGTTTTATGATTTTGTAAGAGGGGTTGATGGTCACAAGTCAGCAGTTGAATATAAATCTTACAGATAAAGTCTTTCGGAGAGTCGAGCCCTTTTGAGAGGAACCAAGAGCTCACCGTATTTGAGGGCAGCTTCAGCTTTTACTAAATCCCTGTTTAACCCCATATCGAGATCCAGAGGGGCTGACTGGCAAAGACCAGGGGTTAAGGAGCTCATTCAGACAGATGAAGATGATGCATGGCTTCCCTCTCTCTCTCTGTCTGCCTTTTGTCTCTCTCTCTAAAGCACACACATACCCATACACAGCATCCTCTTTCTCTCTGTACTATCTACTCAGTGCAACCTTGTACACTCATTTCTCTCTCTCTGGCTTCTGTCCAACTTCTCTGTCGTCGCCTTTCATCTCTTTGGCTAAGACAGGAACAGGCAGATTAAGGAGAGGAAGAGTATTAGGGGAGCCATTCTTTCTGCCTCTTTGTGACGGGAGGGTTACTGTTAGCACAGCAGAGCCCTCCCTCTGCTGAGTTTGGTCATTAGAGAGGCTGCAGAGCAGTGGGGGGAAAGTAAGCCTGAGGATGTGTTTACATTACAAGAATACTGATATTGTGGGGTATAAATGCATTCTCATATTTGACAGTGTATTTCTGTTGAATCTCGGATTTTAAAATCCATAAAATACAAAAGGTAATAATTCATTGTATAAAGTGTATAAAACAGTAGAAAGAGCATAACAGATGCCAAACAGCACAGTAATAAAGAAAATGCATTCAGACCAGAACACTGCAGGGGGAAAAAGCTGTATGTATAATAATGTTATATACATATTTTGACAATAACTAGCTACATGCATTGACTAACAAGTCAAAGGGTTTAATCACATTAAATAATTGTAGCATCTGCTGAATCTACTATTCAGAAATTAATAGCTACTGGCAAGAGATTTTAATTTAGAAATAGACTTGAAGAAGACACAAAACATAACCAGGAATACCATGGAATTTTAAAATCAAAATCTGTATTTCAACAAATAATTTATCAACTGGAAAATATGATAAAACATAACTGCCAGGGGGAATGATGAACAATGACATTCTCTCCCTAAGGGCATCCTTGTTTGCATATTTACCAGTGTGCCATTTGGTATTCAAGTGTGCTCATAAAGATCTTATTTGGATACAGCCAAAAGAAATGTTTATCTAACGTTATTTCTTATATAGGCGTAAACCAACACTTGTCTATAATTGGTATGGATTGTGTGTGTAAAACAACAAATGTTAGCTGCTGTACAGTGGCAAGCAGAATGACACGTCAACATGGGCTAGATAGATAGTTGTGGAAATTTGAGGAGATTAAAAACTGTCCAGCAAATATAGAGATAAGTCATTGTACACATGATATGATACAGTTTTTACCCTGCACTACATGATATGTCTTATTACATTAGATTATTTTGGGCTTGCTGGCAACAATCATTTTCGATCTGTAATGATTTCTTGTAATTCAAAACTACGGTGGGGGACATTAATTCAATTTGCCGTCCATCTGACCCATTAGATGCCCTGTTGTCAGATCAGTACACTAGGTTACTGTTATTCTCTGCACTACCTAAAATGCAAAAACAAGAAAGCAGTGCTAAAGGGATAATGACACTGAACTTTCTGTATGGGCAAAATTATGAAACACTGTTTCAGTGATGCACACATTTAGGAAGAAAACGTGGACCTTCACTGAGCTTACATGTTTCTACACCACAACTGTTTTCTGTTTAGCCACTATTTGAGCACTGGCAGTTTTCCACTGCACCTCCACAACCGTGCCAGACACGGCTATGAGTTATGATGCAACTGCAAAGGCTTTGTTCCTGCAATGTAACATTTGTCTGAAGAGGGAAAAATAGCCTATCAAATTTCAGAAATACAATTCAAAGAGTATGCTTTTATTAAATATTGATGTCACACACATGGTTAGCGGGGTGTTAACGTTTGAAGGAAAACAGCATCACTTAACACCCTAGTGCTACCTTTCTCTACAGTGAACAGCTGTTACATCACCCTTGAATCATTCATTCTCAAACCAAAAAGAGTTGAGGTAAACACAAAAATCCATGGAATGTAAAAGGGCTCTCCAGTTTCCACAGTGAATGATCAAAAGATGAAGGAGCTCACAGCGAAGTATATACCGACAACACATTAACTTTTAAAACTTATTTGGTTTGTAATTCCTTTTGTACATATTTCGTCTCTTTGATGACTTCATATGTCTAAAGCCAAACATGAGAACTGGGCATGATATTTCTCCTATAGTGCCATTAAACATTGTGAAGCATTATTAAAGTGTGTGTTCCTTTATACTCTCGATGATTCACCATATTCACTATTTAGCTGTAACTGTAGTCTATTTTGGCTTAAATCAATATTTTTAGAAATAGGATTATTCACTTTCTTGACAAGAGTTAAATGAGAAAATACCGCTTTTATATCTGTCCTCTAAGCTAAAGCCAGTTAGTTTAGCTTAGCATATAGAAAACAGGGAAAACAGCTAGACTGGTTCTATCTGAACGTAACAAAATCCACCATGGTAGGTGGATTCCTCTGAAGCTCACTAATTCCTTTCTTTTCTCGTCATCGCTGTGAGGTTGCCAGGCAACCAGCAGAGGTTCCAGGAAGTCACTGCTCTCGGCAAAGAAATAGTCCTGCACTACAAATTTTCTTTAACAATTAGATTTTTTAGAGATTAAACAATATATGACATGTTAATTGACTTTTAGAGGTGCTGGTAGCCAGATTTTTTATATATATGTACATTTAAAATGAGCATGGTAAATATCTTATAGTTGGTGAGTAAAAATGTATAATCTGCAATAAAATGTAGATTAGAAATGTCACGTAGTTATGGTGTGGGGCGCAAAATCTTTGCTTACTGACTTCCTATAAGTTTTACAAGAAACAGGGGCACTGGGTCGCAGCAGAGAACAAGTCGTTTGTGGTACATCTGATGCGCTAGTGTGGGTTGTTGAGAACAGAGTTGGAGAAGCCCTGTGAAACAGATGAAGAGTGTAATTTAGCTAGCACGAATGGAGACAGAAAATATAGTTGTCATTAAAATCAATGCCTTCTTTCTAGGGCTCTCCCATGATAGTTGAGTAAACTGTTAGTTGAGTCTTAGTTGACGCTCTTTTCATCAGTCGGATATTCACAGGAAGACAAAAACAAAAACAGTGTCAAACGGAAGCTGTGCCTTGTCACTGGGACAACTGTTGCAAAACAGACCTTTTCTCTTGTAACAGCACTGCTGTATGTCCTAACTGTACGAGCTGCTGAATCTAGCTAGTTAGTGGTCCTGTTAGCTGACTGTACCCAGACTGCGAACTCAGAATACGGGGGGATAACACCACAGCTTTGGACTGCAGGGGGGGCCAGAATGAGCAGCTTAGCCAGAGTGGGGCAACGGAGCCAGGCTCAGCAGCCTACCAGTGGCCATGACACCAGGACTGAACACAGCCTCGGACACCAACATCGATTGTGAAGTTGGAAGTTAGTTATTCCCTGTTGTGAACACCAAGACTTGTGTGATGTTATACTGTGTTAATAAATTAAGTGAATGTTCAGTTTCCTTGCTGGTTGTTGTAACACATTCAGAATCATTCCCGCTTTTTCCATTATCATTTGACAGGTAGCCGTTAAAATGTATTTATATAATTAAATATAAAACATAAACGTTTGACGACTACTCAACTAGGAAAACCTTTAGTTGGAGACAGCCCTACTTCTGAGAGAAGAACATTACAAAAAAAAGCTCTCTCTATTTTGGACCTGATCAGCCTGATATCATAATTGAGCAATAAAGACAGAGGAAGACAATACACTCCCTGTAGAGAACATAGCAGCAGTGTATTTCAGCAGCAGGTGGGCAAGAAACACACTGGGTCCTGGAGAACTTCAGAGGGTAGCTACAGAGGTGAGCAGTGGTGGAAGAAGTATTAAGATCCTTTACATACTTTCCACATATTACATATATTCCACTACAAGTAAAGGTCTTGTAAAAGTATGTAAGTATGATCAGTACTCATTCTGCTGTAAAATGCTCCCAATCAGTGGTTTGCTATTACAGTATACATAATGTTTTTGGATTAATAGTACTGCTGCTTTAATATGTATATTGCATTTTACTGCTGTAGATGTTTAAGGTTGAACTAATTTGAATTACCTTATATACTGGTAAGACGAGAAAAAAGATAAAAAGTCAGCTTTTCATAACCTAAAAAAAATGCCAATACAAATAAAGGCCTTTTAATTTATTTAAATTCACTGGTGTGATACCTTAGTACATGTTTGAGAGTACTACAGTATTATCATTTTCTTTTCAGCAAGAGAGTGAATAAGTGTATTTCCCAAAAATATAAATAACGATTGCTTTACATCTGTGTGAGAAAAATAAAAGGGTATGCTAGTTTTGATATTTTGGCACCAACCCAATGTTTTGTGAAGATGGTGCTTAAAGGTGAGGTGGTGATTCAAATAAATAATAATTTAAAAGAAATGATAATGGAATAGAAATCAAAGCTTAGAGACATAGCTTCATCAGAGGGGGATTCCACAACCACATTATTATGTTGTTTTTCTTTGGCCAAATCACTTCTCTTCTTCTCGTTCTGTAAGACTAATAGTCATTATAGACTGCAAACACATTACATGAGAATGACATCGTCATTTATGCTGAAATCTTTCCATTCTTTTTTTTTAAACAGTCTCAAACCACGTTTCAACAATTGCATTTAAATATCACAGTTTATATCAGTCCAGTAATTAAAAATTTAAAATATAATGGATCTTAGACAGACAGTCCAACATGAAGGTCCGAACAGCAAAGAGGGCTATAGTGTTCCAACAACAGTTGAAGCGCCTCAGCTCCTGCATTTCAATTTGGTGGAGTACCTGGGCGTTGCGCTGTCAGCAGGATCTGTGTTCCAGTTGGGTGACTGAGCCTCGCTGGTACTGAAACATGATGACAGTGAAGACAAGTCTCACACCAGCCAATGGAGTCATCAATAATAAGACAAGGTGAGCAGGAAGGGAGGAGGAAGAGTTATCTGAGCACAGCACATGCACTTCCCAGTGGGCCGCGGGGGCAGACAGGGCCACAGAGAGGTGAGATATGGCGTGATGCTCCTGGAATCTGTGATTTGACATCTGCTCTGTGTGTGAGTCTGTCAGAGGGCAGGAGAAGGTTTCTTAGGGCACCGCCGCTTCCTCTTAAGTCCGAATCTCTGGGTTTTATCAAAGAGATCTGACTTGCAGGGCACAGAGAGTGGCTGAGCAGCATGGCACTCACTGGAGGTGGTCAGCTTTGAATGGACGCTGAATAGACGTCATTCATCCAGCAGTCAGTCCTCCTCTTCCACGTAGGTAGAGGGAAACCAGCCCACCTGAGGAACAGCAAAACAGGAATAATTTCAGGCAGCAGCACTCAACTGCACAAATATAAGACAGCATCCCCGCCTGGCCCACACGTGGCAGTAGGGAGCTTCACCGAGCACACAGAGAGTTTCAAACTAGCCCTTCCCTCCCCGCCAAGATCAAAACAACCTACATGGAGATGCTATGGTCAAAAAACATGAAACATGATCCCTCATTGGCTTCCAACCACCAAATGCTCTCAATTATGTGTATCTCAGTTAATAACAGTTATTTTACCCCTGCACCACCCAGGCACATGTATGATAGACGTGTAAATAAATTCTAGCTACCACTGTATATGATAAAAGCACAGAAAACATACACAAGAAACACCAAGGTCAAGATAAACTAAAACGTGTACTGGATTTTGCCAAAGTGTAAGGGTTCTATAGGAGACCTACCATGCCGTCAACCTCTCCCTTCCACCACCCATTGGACATCTTGGTGTAGATCTTGATAATGTCTCCCAGCTGCAGGGATAGCTCCCGTGTGTCTCTGGAGCAGAAGTCATAGCGCGCCACTGCAATACCTACCACCCTAGGAGAAAACACTGAGACAAAGATATCTTGTCTTATAATTGAGAGTCATCTCCACTAAATTTCACAAATATTACTCTCAGAGATAGAGGGATTTAGTTTCCTCTTGGTAGTGCAACCTAAATATTTTTGGATGTAAAAACGTGAGTGTCCATAAGTAACTCAGTGAGTGTTGGAGTTCCTTTATTGGCCACTGCTCTTTCAAAATGAATAGGCACAAATGAGCCAGGCCCACCAGAAGCCCATTTCTCTGCACTGGTCAACAAGTGATTCTGCTCTTCTGGCCTTTTCTAATCACACATACGTACAGCTAATCTTTACAATAGCCTCATGAATCATGTGTTCATGGACAAGTGGGGCGTTGCTTCTTCTTAAAAGGGCTATCTGGTGATGATTGTGATGATCGTGAGGAGGGGCTTCTTCCCTGTGTGTGTGTGTGTGTGTGTCTGCTTGTCTCTCACTCTCTGTTTAAACACAACTGGCACATGTGGAAAAGATACATCATTTTAAAAACACAATCACAAACAAAAGTGATACTGTTTCTAATAAATATAGTGGATGGGCAGATTTTTATATTTCATCATGCAGATTGCAACTAGGTGAACATTGGTCACATCTGTATTTTGTGATCTGAGAATGAGAACAGGCTGTAAACTGTGTAGGAGAAACTATGACCTATTCATTCTAGGATAATAATAATAACACAATAATTCCTGTAGTCAGGTGACTTTACACTAATGAAAACATATCCATGAACATTGTATTCCATTTCTGCCAATGGATCCTCTTAAATGTTGCACACTGGACCTTAAATAGATTACTAGAATATACTATACTTAAATTAAATTCTCTTTCAAATCAAATCTCTTAAGATATGAGTGGAAAGTATTGTTCTCGCAACTGAATTGTTTGATTCAGACATAGCTTAACCATGTCTACCTTAGTACACCTTATGAACAAGATAACACTATCACTGACCATACACGGTCTAGCCATAAAGTTTTGACCTGGTGTTAAAACTTACTAAGTTAAATACTCACTAACTTTGAAGTACAAAATATATCTCTCATTCTGCACAATCTAATCTGAAGCCTGTGTCAGCCACTTGAAACCACTTTCTCCTCAGGAATCCTGGGCTTTCTAAAAGTGATCCTCTTAACTCTTAAGTTTTTCATCTTGGGAGTGACTAACGTTTAACTTTTACCTCAAACTGATTATATATATATTTTTTAAATATACTTTGTTATAATAAAACAAGAAAAATGTTAGCTCAAGGTCTTCCAAAGAAGTGCAGGTTTGGACTATGTTAGGATTTTGTCAAACTACAGTACCAACTCTACTAACAAGATTTTGGGGACTACAAAGAAATGAGAGGGCAAATTAGGAAAACTGAACTCAGTTAATCTACCTCTGATTAATATAAAACGGTATATTATCATTATGTTAATTTGAACTATTGTAGATGAAACACACTTATTACAGGTACTATCCACAGTAAAATGACTACAGCTTTTTTAAAGGCATGATAAGGCAGCAAAGAGCCTTGTCTGTTGGGCCTGAGTCATACAAAGTGTATATACACAGCTGATATATGCACAGCTGTGCCAAACACACAGTGGAGATGACAGGTCATGGGTTATCGTGGTCATGTGTTGATTTAATGCTCAACACAGCTCACCCATTGCATCAACGCTTCAGATTATACAAGGTCATTCCTACACATACAGGTCAGGGCACATGTGAGCACAGGTGTGCATTGGTTTGTTTACCTTATCTTTGGAAATACTACGTGACACAAAAGGGAAGATATGCTGGATTAAAGGAATACATTTATTCCCATTCACACACAGGCACATCATGCCAGCACATATGCTCAGTCCACACATATATGCATGCATATATATATGCTCATGCACATAAGTGCAAAAGAAGACAGACACAAATAAAGTTAATCCTAATAGACTATCATGCTGGATTCATGCCATGTTGGCAGAATAGACTTCTCCCTATACCATTGAGACTTTACACCAAGATGCTTACTGCCTTTGCCGGCCTTGTAGTCACATCTAAATATATTATTTTTATTGTGTTACATATTTGTTGAGTTTGATTGACAAGTGAAACCACGCAAACAAAGGTGTATGTCACCTTTTAATTAGCTTGAATTGTAGTTAAATGTAAATGTCAGCAATGATGGCTATGCAGCTCTTTGCTACTCGTTTGTCTGTAGTGCACTTTTGCCAAGTGGGAGATATCATAGCTGTCAGGAATTCACAATATTTCTAATTTGGATTTACAGAAGGCTGACGTGAAGGATTTTTTCCCACAAGTCAACACATATGGTCTGCACAATATGACGTAAAAGAGGCATCATTAGACTATATTACTTAACAGAGATACGCAAAACAAGACAGTTCGTCTTTGGAAACCAGGAAATGTGGTTATCTAGCAAGGGAGAGACAAAGAAATTAGAAAAGCTGTACCTGTACCTGACCAGAAAGGCGAGGAGGAGGGAGGAACAAAGCTGCAGCCGTCAGGAGGAACTACAGAGAAACGGAGCGAGTGATGGGGGGTTCAGGCCGTAGTGGGAGCAAAGAGAGAACATAAGCAAAGTAAACATAAGTTTGACAGAAAGAGAGTGTGAGAGAGGGTAAAGGAGAGGGAGAGAGAGAAAAGAAATGTTTGCAAAGTCAAAGAACAAGGAAAAAGCTAGGATGGAAAGAATATAAGAGTGAGAGAGGAGGGAAAGCAGTGAAAGCATCATACAATGTGTCCTTTTACCTGGGACAGGATTTTTATATAATACTGAACAATAAAGGACGGGTATTGAGTAATCAACATAAATACTTAAGAACATGTCCAAAGGTATGCGGGTACCCATAATGCTACAGCATACAATTTTTAGACAATAGTGTTCCTTCTAACTTCTTGGAAACAGTTTGAAAAGAGCCCTTTCCAGACACAACAATGTGCCCCCTGAACAAAGCCCATTGAAATTTGTGGTGAAGAACTTGACTGGCATGCATGGAGCTCTGACCCCTGGCCCATCCAACTATATAATTGGCCAATTAATTGGGCTGATTATGTGGCATTTTGAGATAATTGTTTTGGCCGATGCCTGCACTCACAAGGCCAATAAACAAAAAAAAGAATGCAGACACATCTGCAGGAAGCCTTGTCAGCGTGGCTGCTGTGGAACAATGTTAACACTTCCCTTTGTGAGTTTTGTGAAGGTGGTGAAAAAGTTTGTTTGCAGCCCTGTATTATAACTCTCATGCATCCTGCTGCTTTTCAAAATGTTAAGACTTTTCTCCCATCCTAAATGACAGCAAATCTAATCTAAAACCGTCACTGGCTAGCTCTAAATATATATTATGTTATAATAATGCAGTTTAATGACGTCGCTTCTGACATACCCTGTTCTCCCTTTAACCAGTCCAATTCTGAAATCCACAGCATAAACCAATGTATTTTTCAGTTTCTTAAATATACATGACTTTCTTCTGATATCGGCATTCTATAGCAGGCACCATCAGTCGCCCTGCTTTCTAAATATTGGCATCAGCCATTGAAAAACCCCTATCAGTGAACGACTACATCATAAACCTGTGATCCTGCAAGCACACATTCCTGGTAGATTGCCTAATGTGGACGGCATATTTATGTTTACCTTGCAATCATTGCACTGATTTTGTGTTTTAGCTTCTGATAAACCTTCATACTCATTGATCTGTTACTCCAACTGGACTTCCTTGATCATATTTTAAATACAGTTGGCATTTATTTTTTGGGTATCAAGAACCGGTACTAAATTGGTACTGGTTCCTGACTGGTCAGTACCAAAATATTGATAATCTCCCAGTCAAACAACGCTACTATTGGTATGTAACATTAATTGATTCTGAGTAGCTACAATTTTCACATTCCTAATCGTCCCCCAATAATGACAAAGCTGCTGGAGTCAGGCAATTACCTACCCACCGGTATACCTGAAGCAACATGCAATTGTGTTGTGTTGACACATAACAGTTTTCGGTCTGAATGTGCTTATTGCTCAACAGCAGTAACTGGCCTCACAGATGCTCTTGTGACTGAGTTGGAACAAATCCCTGCAGCCAAGTTTCAAACTCTTGGGGAGAGCTTTCCCCAGAAGGGTTGAGCCCGTTGTAGCAGCATATTGTTGCCCATGCTTTTTGAATGAGATGTTCAACAATCACATATGGGGGTAAAGATCAGATGTTCAACTGTCTACAAACCTTTTCCATGTATTGTAGCTTCTAGAACCTTCCCCAGGTCACACTGCATAATAATCAGCAATAACAACCTTTTGAGCTTCAGATAAGGTGAGCCAAAGCAGCAGCATGGGGGTTAGTATACGTCTGGGCACAGCACGGCGCCCTGACAAGGCAACGGCTGGGAATCCAAGCTGCAAGGCTGACGACTTCCGCTCCCATATGAAATCCCATCTGAGCCATTAGACCCTCACACTGAGAAATCCACCTCCTGTCATGACAACAATATGGCTCCATGCCTTCTTTGTCTCCCCCACAGGGATAAGTAAATGGAGGCTAATATGTGTCTGTTTGTTTGACCACAGTGCACACAAACAAGTATACGTATTACTGTATATACCGCACATACTGTACGTGTGCATATCTAAATATACATCTGCTGTAAGTACAACCATATAGCACACTAGAAGAGTAAAACAAAATATCCTGTAATATTTTTCTCTAATAAATTCTTTTTTGGATTTTGAATACTACTCACTCATAATGATTAATTTTAGAATTGTATACAGATAACCCTTTACTACAAAATTATCTGCCTGGCAGACAATAAAAGATTTGATTTGTAATTATTTCCCAGCCCTAACATTCACACATGCAGGCAAAAAACACTCAATCATACTTAATTAACGATGCTGGCTGGGGTTTTTCCAAACAAATTACTCTAGAGTTTTGATGGTTTTTCAGCAGTTCTGCATAGTGTGATTGTTTACTCAGACCTGCATTCTGTTTCTTTGCTATGAGGTGTCTGTTCTGAGATTCAAACCATTTTGTGTGTGTTTTTTTTTTGTTTTGGCATGACATCTGTCTTTCAACCGAGGCTGTTTACCAGACAGAGAACGCGGTGCCCACACTAAGTCTGTCTATGGGGGTGGACGACTTAAGGCAATAATAATCTGTCCCAGAATGCACTGAGGCAACGGCAGGTCTGTCAAGGCTTTCTCACAGAGAGAAGCGCAGTGAATGGCAGCAATGCACAAACACACCTCTTGCAGAGCTGCTTTGAAGCCTGATGCGCTGGGAGACCGATGCTGCCAAAGGAGGCAGAGGGACAAGGGTGTAGCAGAATTTTACATCCGAACAGGCACAAAGGGCTAACTTTGACTTTGTTCCAGCGTTCGTCTGCTTGCCTCGGTTGCCTTAGTTGCCTCAGTTGCAGCGGCTGTGGTTGTTTACACGTACACCTCCCTTTAAGTTGAGACAGTTTACCTCCAGCTGCTTTCTGCTCTTTTGCATCAGATCATATTTGCAAACTTTTCCCAGTTTTGTGGAAACAGGCGCAGTCCCTCAGTTGGACCAGGGGTATCCCCCAGGAGTATGTCAGCAGGCGGCTGTCACACAGTTTTCTCCGCTGCCAGCCCAAGTGAAATGTCATGTCCTGTCAGGAAAATTGTGAAACCATCTCGGAGCTGAGCAGCGTGCAGAGTGTGACGTTTGGAGTAGCAGGCTCCTGGTGCTTGCCTGGGGCATTGGGCCCTAACTGGGACCTCTCTGCCAAGCCTGGTGAGCTGCCGAGGCTCCTTTCTATTTCTTTCACTCACTGTCTCTTTCACTCCCTCTTTTTTCTTTTGCTCTCCCTCTGTCTCTCTTACCCCATACCTTCCCTTTATACTCTGTGCCTCTCTTTTACCCCATTTACACCTGGTAATAACATGCCATCTGTATCTGGGTAGGGAAAAACATATTAATTCAAGGTGCAAATGCAGAATATGATTGGCTCAGCTAGATACCATCTGGACATGGTCTAGGTTGTAATGGATCTCAGCCAGCTATAAATGTACAGTTTGACCCATTTTTAAAGGAATAGTTCAACATTTATTATTTAATATTTCAACTTATTTGTTTTCTTGATACCACTCTTGTATCTGTGTGCTAAATACGAAGCTAAAGCCATGGTGTAGCTTAGCATATAAACTGGAGCACATGGAATACATGGTATCATTCTTCTCATCTAACTCTTGGTTAGTTGAAAAGGTTAAGGTTGTTGCTTAAAGTGTGTAACATTTAGGAGGATCTATTGAAAGGAATGGAATATAATATTTATTAGATATGTTTTCCTTATACTCACCTGAAAATAAGAATTGTTTTGTTTTCCTTACCTCAGAATGAAATTTAAGAGATAAGGTCTTGTGTATGTAGTCAAATATAAATGACCTTATACCTATGCTACAATGCTGCATTTGACACCATTATGATAATAACAAAAAAGAAGATCAATCAAATAATCTGAAGAGGCAGGTTTCCCAAGGAAAGCTGCTGCTGTCTTCCCCCCTGTGCTGTTCCGCAGGGAATTGTGTTAGCTCATTATGCTGTGCTAAATATTTCTAGCATGTCTCACACGTAAAAGATAGGACTGCCTCGAGTATCAAGACACAGTTTTAACTTGAGTGTCTAATAACCAAGCAAATGATCTGTCAGCATGATTTTGTAATGTAAACTGGGACATGTTTCTACAGTTCTTCAAGGTGAGGGCATACATTATCTGACAAGTAATAGCAAAATATAGCAAGTGAGGTACTGATTCAGCAAACTGTTTCTACCCTCATCTTATTTTATTATTTATATTAGATGACCTGGGAAATATACAGTCAGTTTACATTTGACTTTACAAGCAGGTCTAAAACAACTCACATTACTTTATCTGAACTGGAGTGTTGTATAAAACCCACCCCACTGGTACCCCAAACAGGTAAAAGCAAATGCTCAGAATTACTTTCAATTTCAAGATCCGATCTGAACT